CTAGTTCAGACACACCTACTTTATGGATCCAAGCAACATAATTCTGGTCCAAACAATTCTTCCACACCTCAACAACACTTTCCCTAATCAAGCAATTCTATTTCAATTCAAGAAAATTCTCTTTCTTTTTCTATTTACTCGTCTCTTTCTTTTCTTTTATTACACAAACCTTTTTCAAAACAATTTCTTTTTTCATAAAAAAATTGTTATAATTAGTTTCTTAGCAGTCAGACTAAAATCTTGGAGTATCTGAACCAGGATCAAATCAATTAACGTTTACACACTTCTAGGATACGATTATAACTATTTCCTAAAATCAGCCAACACATCCGTATTTTCTACCATGAACTACGGAGCTTTGATTTTCTCATTGCACTATGAGAAGTTTTCTTAGAGTATAAGTGTTGAATATAATGGGGGAAAAGAAAAGAAAAGCGAAGGAAGTGCTATTTATAGTAAAGAATAAAAAACTCTTCAGTCTTTATGCTTGACAAATGACGTGAAGTAGGTGACATGCGTCATCTCCTTAGAGGAAGGATCGAAACAATTTGATGCATGTAACCACGCCACCCTACGATGGCGGAGCCATGATGAAGAAAGTTATGGGGGAGTGGGAGACACGCGTTTTTGAGGTGACAGTTGATAGAAATGCCATGATGATCATGACGTCAACCCACTGGCTGAATAATGTCTGAGAAGGTCAAAACGCCCATATCTCCTAGTTTGTCGAAAGTGGCCTTTTGGGGGGATAATTTGTTTGCTGAAATTTCCAACAAGGAAAAAACCCTCAGTACGAGTCAAAGTTAAAGACATGTGTACCTTTGATGACGTGTATGTGGTCGAAGTCTCAAGTGAAGGAAAATGAGACTTAGTATTTTTTAGGAATGTTTTAGAAACATTTCGACAACCGTTTTCTCGACAACATCAAGTGCATCGAAGAAGCGGTTATTTGGGCATACATATATCACGTTCAAATACAAAAAACTACTTTTGCGTTCGATTCTGAAGGACACCTGGAGGGAATGTAAAGGTGGAGTACATGCAGACTTCTATGTGGCGAATGTTGGAAGCAATTATTTCATATTAGTATAAATAGGAATTTCATTTGTAGAATTCAGGGTGTGTTCATTTCATTACAAAAAGCTCACTTACACTCGAAGTACCAACATTTAGAGAAAAAAGTTATTACTTAGATAATGTATGAACTTTGAAAGACCACTTTTATTTCAATGCAAAGTCTTTAAATTCTATTTACTATTCTTACTCAGTTACTTTCATCTTTACTTAATTGCACTGTCTTTTTTACTTTCGATTTTTACAACATTTCTCACTTTCATTACTGTCGAAATCTACACTTATACCACATTTTTTGCACTATTTCGACCAAGTCGAAACCAATATTTTCTCAAGAGAAACCTATAAAAAAAGGTCTTAACACTATATTCTAGGATTTCCTAGTTGATTCTACGAGTAACATCTATTAAGAGATTATTAGTTATTTACTGTTCTGGCCTGGGGCCCCGCTTGACCGGGAAGGCCCAACCCACCTATGCTTGGTGAAAGGCTCAAATGAGTCTTTCTCATCTATGTCAAGCACAAGGCTCCCGTCGACTAGGCATTGTCCCGTCAGGCAGGACGTTTCTCCTGTCGGGCAGAAAGACGTGTGCCTCACACGTTCTCCGCGTGCTCCCCTCCGCGGGGACACGTCATCAACCAACTGCCCACCTCCGAAAGAGCATGTCAACCCACTCTCCAGAGTTCACGGAGCAGTTGAACTAGGGCGAAGACCACGTTCTAGTCTTCACTACGCCATGTAAGCCCTAACAGTCACTTGGGTTGGGCCCGTCAATCCAGCCCAACTCAAATGACCGTTGGCCCTGCGCTGGGGTCTCTCTATAAATACCCTCTTTCACAAGAGAGTCAGGTATTCTCTTCTCAACCTACTTTCTGTATTTGCTTTCACTCTGTCCAATTCCTTACTTTGGCATCAGAGTGTCTTGCAGGCACACCCCCTTCTCCTTTTCAACACCGGTGAACAGGTAGCAAGTCAAAGATGCGTGGCAGTCCAGTGATTCCCTTCTGATTAGGTCAGATCATTTACCAATTTTCAGTATAAACAATCAAATAATATGATTTTAAGACAATCATACTCTCCATATTTGTTTTCTTTAATCCTTAAATCCTCCTTTGATCTTTTGACCTTTCAGAATCAGTCAATATCTTGTTCGACACATAAATTTCTATTTTTTTTCTTCACACATATCCATAGGCGTTATGGACATGTCAGAGAAGTTTAACCCTTATAAACAATATATTTTTAGGTTAGATTGAGCTCTAACAAAATAAACAATTCAAAACTCTAATCTATATATAATGAAAAAACACGATGAAGAACTTATTTGAATGTTGTATTAAGAAATAACATATGTACATCATATATATCTTATTTGAATGTTGTATCAAGAAATAACATATGTACATCATATATATATCAAAAGCTTACATCATCTAATTAACTTTATGAAAAATACAAGCCAAAGTATAATTATTATGTTGATGAAAGATATTGATGATAGAATAAACCATTAGCAAAAACTTATGCTGTCTGATTAACTCTACTATAATTTTTAACTCTAATTAAACTTCTATTAAAGACCAATTTTAGATAGTTAGAATATATATAATTCTCTCATAGTATGGGATATGCTCTCACAAAGTGAGGCGAGCAAACAAATGTAAAAAAGAAAATTTAAATGTGTGGTCTCAAATATTCCTCTTAACTTTACCCGCTCCATTTCCATAAAATTATGTCGGGTCATTTAAGAAACAATTGAAAAATCGGCTTAGAATAATTAGTATATAGAAATTATGAAATATTATTTTTTAATAAATTATTTAAAACCAAAAAGACATGAATTGAATAATACAAATCATTTATTATTTATTCTCGTAAGGGTCTGTTTGGTTCAAATGAGGAGGAGGGAAGGAGAGGGATTTTAATGAAGGGGAGGGGAGGGGAGGGGAGGTGAAGGAATTTTTTAATCAAATAAGTGTTTGGTTCAAAAGAGAGGAGGGGAGGGGAGGGGAGGGATTTTAATTAAAAACGTGTTTGGTTCAGAAGGGGAGGGGAGGGGTTTTATTAATAATTTACATTTTTAGCCTTATGATCTTATATAAGTCATATGATATTAAAATGTAAAAAATTCATGCGTATTTTTGTTGGTAATAAAATTTCTAATATTGAGTGATTAAAAAAATATTTATTTGTCACATAAAGTTAAAAAATTGAGTACAATCGATTCGACTTATAACTTTCCAACATAAATTAAACTATATGCCAATAACATCGTTTAAATTTTGATGAATCATATAACAAAATAAATATATAAAATAACTTATTACTAAATATTAATGGTTCAAAATATTTAATAAAATGAATAAACAAAAATAAATAAAATGATATGGTTTACAATTTAATATAAAAGAAAATATGATAGAGTACATAACAAAATTAAAAGAAAAAAACGAATATAACGAAACATAATTTTTTTATAAAAAAAAGACAATGATTATGATTTATATTAATTATAAAAATTATAAAATAATTTGAAGGTGGAGAAGAATTATAATAAGTTGATGAAAACAATCGAGAAAAAACAGTAACACAAAAGATAACAAATAGTTTTGAAATAATAAAATTAAACTAAGGATATTTTAGTAAATATAATGATTTTTAAATATCAAAACCCATATTCCCTCCCCTCCCCTCCAAATCCTCCCAATTTGGAGGGAACCAAAAAATGTGTTTTGGAGGGATTTTGCTCCCCTCCCCTCCCCTCCCCTCCCCTCCCCTCCTAAAATTTGAACCAAACATATTTAATTAAAATTTTTCCCTCCCCTCCCCTCCCCTCCCCTCCCCTCCATCTACCTCGAACCAAACACACCCTAAGTAGATTTTAAACTTTCAAACACTTATAGTCTATTTAAAGCTTTAATTTAGTAAAATAATTTATATTTATACTTTTACTTATTTTTGACAATTTTACTTAAAATCTAATCTAGTACTAAATAAAATATCACATTTAAATAAAATACAATTTTAATTAAAAGTTTAAAACCCCAAATACGCTCCTCTTTAAACCCTAGTCTAACATCTACCAATCCACATACCGGAGCTTCTTTTCACTGCCACCGTGCCGGCAAACCAAACACATTATAAGTCCTTCAAATTCCAGCGAATACCACCTTGGCGGCCGTCGCTTCTTCAACAACTTCACCGCTTCCTTGCTCTTCGCCGTCACTGCATTGTCAATTTCGGTTTCCTCTTTCTAAGATAACGTACTTCATTTTCGCGGTTGGTACTGTATTATTATCATTTTACTCCGCCTTGTGTTTTCTATATTCTTCATCAAGCTTTTGGCATCATTTTAAGGCTTTACAAACAAGATTTATTTTACTTCTACCAAATTTTTGTTTTTTTGTTCTTTGTTTTTGTATGATATAACGGTTAATTGTTTAGTAGATTGGATCATATTTGAATGAGTTCAATTTTTAAATAGAAGTGACTGAATGTAATCATGAGTGTTAGTGTCTTGTTAGTGTCAGAATCCGACATATTGGTTAAACACCGGGTATGTGTTCATATTGAAATGTGGGTGCTGCATAAGTTTTTCCACACAATAAGAAAAGTTGAAAATAGATGAAATACTGTAGCAATTTTATAACATCATCCTTATTAACCTTTGAGTGTTAACCACTGTCTTATATGCATTGTTGACTACAATGGACTTGATAGTGTTACATATAGTATTTAATTTGGAGGTAGAATTGAAATAAAGCAATTCATTTTAGATTGAAAACATAAAATGATACTTATTTTAGGACAATGTTTTCTGTTGATGTTGATGTGACAATTTGTACGAGATGAAGGGAGTTTTATGTTGCTTTTTATCTGTAATGGAAATTTAGAATTAGAATTGTAATTGCCATGCCAGGTAGTAATGGCCTGTAGAATTTGGGAGCTGCTTTACGGTGGAAATCATTTTAGAACCAACAAATCTGCAGCTCTCTTTATGAACTCAACGCGTTATCACTCTTCACAAGATGTTTACGACATGCAATGGTATCGGAATGAGTTTCCAAAGATAATAAAGTTGACTCGATTGCTTGCAAATGTGGATACAATTAATGGAAGACTTGTCGATGTAAATAGTAATTCAACCATTTTTGATGATGAAATCGATCATCAAATGCGTACGTTCAAGTCTCTTGTCCGAGTGTTTATTGGGTCTCCGTTTGTTCAGCATAAAATGAGATGTGTTTTACCCCCCACCACAAATACACAACATGATACATTTACCCCTTTTAGTAAAACAACCGAAAGAGAATCTATGGTGGTTGATTCGCTGACTAAGGTGAGCAATTTTCTGAATGTTTCTGCTCAACAGAGGAAGGTGGTTCGTTTCAAAGTATGCCCACAGGTTACACAGCACCATATATGGACTGGTGCACTTAAAGAAACTCTGAATAATTTTGTAGTTGATTTGGATTCTTTGGGTTCTCAGGGCTTGGAAGAAGGTGCTATATTGGGTCAGCAAATTATTCATAGCTGCTTGAAATTTCTGACGGAAACTGCCAGTTTTTCTGACGCTGATTCATCTTCATGGATGAAGTTTTCACCTACAAAAATTGTTACTTCTTCTGAGTCCCAGAAATGGGAAGATGTTCTTGCAATGTTCAATGACCTAATTAAATGCTGTAAAAGTGAAACAAGATTAAAGTCGCATGTGGCTAAGGTTGAGGTCATGAAGGAGGGGCTTTTACATATCAAGGATATTATGATTGATAACAGTATTGCATACAAGGATGCTCGATATCTCCAAAACCTAGTGCAGAAGAAGCTTTCCAAAACGTTGGGCCACTCATCTGGTTGCTTATTTACTTTATTACAATATTACCTCTATGGAAGAGTCACAGATATTGAAGTAGACTTGTGTGGTGGGATTTATAGAAATGGAAATGATAGCAGGTTTTGCTTGTTTATGGGGAGAATTTTGACTTCAGATAGTGACAGGATGGTTGGGCGTGGTGTGAAGCAGTTGGATCGAGCACTTGGACTTTTCAAGTTTGTATGGGAAACAGCTGGATTGGAAGGGATTTTGGAATTGCAAGGCCATTTATGGTGTGTTGGAGCAAACAGTAGGATGCTTAGATATAGAGGAAACATGTATTTCGTGCATGGTGTTTGCCTTTGACACCATCTGTTTTTGTACTGTGGATTGAATTAATCTTCAGCTAGTAGTGCCAATACTTAAATTCAGGATGTTTTTCCTCAAATAATCAAATGTTTGTTCTCCTGGTTTTTGTGGAAGCTGGGTAACAAATGTGGTTGTCATAGACAAAAGGGATAATGTGAAATTGGAAAAAAGTATTTTGCTGGCAACAGAAGCAATAGAAATATATTCCACAATTTATATATGATGTTTCTGCCTCAATCCCCTGTGTATTCTCTTTTTGTTCTTATCACTATGCTCTTTGACTTTTGTTTTTATCTAGTTAATAGTTACACTGTAAACGGATGGTGATTGCATGTCGAGACCATAACTTTATTAACCAAGAAAGTCTTCAATTTTGATTTGATTGTTTTAAATTTTTTTGGAGCATGTATCTATATTATTAATTTTGAACTTGTATCCATAATCTTCAGTATAGTGGCCATTTTTTTGGGGTTCTCTGCTCCATATTGCTACTGAGGACGGACAAGTCTCAATTATGCAATTCATAATTTGACATAGATAGCAGCCATCACACTTACTCTTTCTTGATTGGCTGCTCCATGTCACACTATCTAGGTGTGACAACTATGCTCAACAAACAGTAGTTTGTCCTTTGTAGTTTTATTCATAAAGCTTCTATAAACTTTTGCAGTTGTAGGAATGGTGGGTTTATCTCTAGGAGAACAACATTTCATTCAAGGTGGCATTGCTCAGGATCTTCGTTGTGATGGTAGAAAGCGATTGACTTATCGACCGATCAATGTTGAAACTGGAGTCATTCCTCAGGTAATGCTTTGATGACTTGGCACTTGCAAGGGTGTCCCAATGATTTGACCCCAGCAGCTATTTTTTTAATTGGTTTTAATAGTTTTAATTTCTACATTTGATGAACTTCATGATAGGCAAATGGTTCGGCCAGAGTAAGAATTGGTGCTACAGAGGTCATTGCCAGTGTGAAGGTTTGTTAAAATGTTGGAACTGGTCTCTTCTTTCATGGCTCAACTTCCTTTTGTTAATAGTACAATTATTTTTAAAATCACATTAGTTCTTCTACTAATCATAATATATTGGCTACACAAGTGCAGGCTGAACTTGGAAAACCAGGCGCAGGGCAACCTGACAAGGGGAAAGTGTTTATATATATTGACTGTAGTTCGACTGCTGAGCCAGCTTTTGAGGTTGCATATTTTGTTGCCTGTCTTCCTTCTCTTTATCTTGTGAAGTCATTCAACTATTCTGGTTTACTTCATATTATTCAAGTAACTTGAATAGGGCCGAAAATGAGTTGAGCTGAGTCAAACTTGGTTCGGTTGTTCAACTCGAAGCTTGACTCGAGTTCAACACAAACATTTTTTTTTCATCAATAAGTGGTAGACTCGTCAATATGTTATCAAGAAGTGGTCATGCTAGTGCGATGATGGCACAGTATCACAGTTATATTTACAAGGCCGCCATGACGGCATCACCAATGGAAATATCATTTGATTTGAGACTTTCATTTGCCTCACACTCTTCAAAATATTGTCATATTTTATGTTCTTTTTCCGGACAACCTTCTTTTATTCTCCTTGTTATGCTCTTTCATTCATGCATTCTGTTTTATTTCTCTCCATCTCCATCCTGTACAATATTCTGGTTTTTACATCCTCTTTTGCTCTATTCCTTTTTATTCTGGTTTTTTGCTTCCCGTCCTTCATTATCCGGTTATCTTCTATTGCTGTTATATTTATCATTCTTATTCTTAAACACCTTTTTATTGCTTCAAAATAATTAGTTTTATTTGGTGTTCTATATCTTTGGTATGTATATAGGGTAGAGGAGGTGAGGAATTGTCAGCAGAACTGTCAACTGCTCTTCATCGCTGTCTCTTGGGTGCTAAAAGTGGAGCAGGTATACCTAGCTCCTAATGTGATGATTATGCTTATTCACACTTTTCTTCCAAACTCTTTTTTATTTTTATATTTATTGTTATTGAGCCATACTATTTTCCCCCTCCAGGTGCTGGAATTGATCGTACTTCGCTTGTAGTTGTCGAAGGAAAAATTTGTTGGGATCTTTATATTGATGGGCTTGTTGTCAGTTCAGATGGAAATTTATTAGATGCTCTAGGTGCTGCCATCAAGGTACAACTTAAAATGCATATATTATACATGATATAAATGCTTGAAAGATGGCCATAAAAAAATAATAGTATTTCCGGCATAAGATACACTCCTTTCACGACGGTGTCATTATTGTTTACTTTCAAAATTTTCTCGTTCATTTATTATATTTTGGGGATTGTTGTTATACAGTATATTGGGCTGTTCCAACTTATGGAGTACGACATGTCCATAAGCTGTTTTCATTTTATTTCAATAACCTTTCCTTTCCAAGGTGACTTATAAAAACAACATGCAACTCATGAAACAAACAATTTAAATTACCTTCCTCTCTGATTATAGAAATAATTTATGCATAACTGCATAAGCACTTATATGATGAACACTTAGTGCCCGTTTGTTTAAGATTATTAAAAATAATCATTTTGATGTTTTAGTTATGCTTTACTTAAAAATCTCTACAAAAAATATAAATAAGAGGAGAGTTAGAGTAGGTGTTGCTTGCACTACTAAAAAATAATAGATTATTTTAATCAAACTCACTTTTATTTTAGTCTATGAAAACAAACTCTTATTCCACAAGCATGTTTACCCAAACATAACCTAATTGAAAATGCCCTGACAGATGATCCTTGTTATTCTTTTAGGCTGCTTTGAGTAATACCGGTATTCCAAGTGTCAAAGTTGCTCCTGGTGCATCAAGTGACGAGCAACCAGAAGTTGATGTAAGTGATGAGGAGTTTCTGCAGTTTGACACATCTGGAATCCCGGCTATAGTTACACTGACTAAGGTATCATACTTATGCTATCTCGTGTTCTCAGATTGACAATATTTTACGAATTTGATTCAATCTCTATTTCCTAGGTTGGGAGGCACTATATTGTGGATGCCACACCCGAAGAGGAATCACAAATGAGCTCTGCAGTTTCTATCTCTATCAATAGGAAAGGGCACGTCTGTGGTATAACCAAACGAGGAGGTGCAGGACTGGATCCAAGTTTCATTCTTGATATGGTATCTGTGGCTAAGCACGTAAGCGAGCAGTTAATGAATAAACTGGATTCAGAAATAGCTTCTGCTGAAGCTGAAGATGAGTCGTGATAGAGAACTTTGTGATCACTAGGATATGTTGTACACCATAGTTGGAAATGCTTGTTATAATTTATATGTTGAGTTGTGCTGACTTGATTTTAGCTTTGTAATAGTCTTTTAATGCCATACATGATATTAAACTGCAATAGCTAGTGATGCACTTTTGTTAGTCACGAAGTGAAATGTTATGACATGTTAGGTGATTTAAACATGGTTCTAAGTCTTGTCTGCCATGCACTTCATGTTGAAGTTTAATTATGATAGACCAATATTTGAACAGCAAAAGAATGTTATTCAAATAATTAGTTGTATATACTCTTTTTGTCTTAAAACAAATGTCTTTCTAGATGAATTTTTATTTTAAAATAAGTGTTGTTTTACTTTGCTAATGCAGCATCAATTAATTTATTTAAGGATAATGCTAGTAAATGATACTACTACTAATTCAACCGGCTCATTAATGGAAGCATCAATTTCGGCGGGGGTTTCTAAAATATAAATTTACAGATACTTTGTTTTGTCGAATTCTGATGTCCTGGTCAACACGCAACAAAACACAAAGGAAATAGGCTCCACAGATCCACCAACATATGCCTCAAAAGTAGCAACTTTTATTTTTGACTCATCAAAAGCACCAACTTGGAGACAATATACTAATTCATTCCAATTTTCTCATAGACATCATTAAAAATGACGAGTATTTTTTTATAAGAATTTTTTATTGCTTTCTAGATGTTTTTAATGCATAATGTTAATTTTTACAAATATTTTATGTTTTTGGAGATATATTTTTGAATGCATTCAAATGTAAATGAATGTTGAAATATTTCGGAGATATATTTCTAAAACATTTTAAAGCATAAGGTGTGTCAGACTCTTATCCTTCTTCATTTCACAGTTTTTTTCAAACAAATACAACTTCAAACTCTCAATACATTTCTCTACACCAAATCAAATTTCATCAAGCAAGGCTCAAAGGAACTCAAGGGAACATCAAGTTTCATTTATAGTATCATTCAACTTCATCAAAACCATCAATTTCAAGTAAGTTATTCAAGTTTTTGGTAAATTTTGAGTTTTAGCGTAAATGTGTAGAAATCAATAATTAGAGTTAGAAATGTGTAGGAATCACGTGTAACATAGTTTAGACATAGTGTATAACTTGTTTGTTGGCTGAAATTTGTGATCATATCATATTTTTGTCAACTTGCATGTGGTACATTCGCTGTTGACGCAACTTCTGAGTTGCTGAACATTCCGGAGATGTTTCTTCGGAATTTTCAGTGTTTCATATATTGCAAGAAATTCTGGAGATGTATCTCTAGAATTATTCAACGTTTTAGTTTAATGGTGTTTTCGGATATGCATCTTTGGAATGTTTTAACTTTTTTAGTTTAATGGTGCTTCCGAAGATGCATCTCCGGAATTTCCTTCAGTATGTTTTTTTTTTTTAAATTTTCTTGCTTGCACTAAGGATATGCGTTACTTTACCTTACATGCATAATGGTTGACAAAGTTGACAGACTAAGACATGACATGGTTGCTTAGCACGCATCCGTTCGGCGGGAGTGGAACCAGCAGGTTCTGGAGATTCCAGGTAGGGCTGGCAATGAACCAAACCAACTCGAAGATAGTTCGGAATTCGACTCGACAATTAAATCGTTGAACTAGGTTCATGAACCAAATGAGTTGAGTATGAGCGAAAAATTAAGTTCGTTAACTAAATGAGCTGAACTTGAACTATACATAGTTCGACTCGTTAGGTTCATGAGTCAACTCGATTACATATGAAAAGAATTATACTGTCTTTAAGATTAGGTTTAAATATTTACTTCAAATCTTAGACAAATTTAATCTTCAATTTAGTAGTTTTTGAGTTAGACTCTCAAATGTATCTCTTGAAAGTTGTGTAGGTTTTGAATTAGTAGATTTCGAAGATAAAGTTAAATATCAATATGATAACTTTTATTTTATTTTAATATTTTATTTAAAAAATATATATTTATTTAAAATGTCAAATATACTAAAAAATATATATATTTTAAAAAATAGTTTTTAAGTTCGTGAACCATGTGAGCTGAACCTAATGAGATGAACCTAACGAGTCGAATCGAACTGTTCGTGAACTTATAACGAGTCGAGTTTGAGCTTAAAAAAAAGTTCGTGTCGAACTCGAACTCGAACTCGAATTCGAACAATTCTTAACGAGTCGAGCCGAGCTGAGGTGAGTTCGACTCGACTCGACTCATTTCCAGCCCTAATTCCAGGTACCTTTGGTCAGGCAGAGTCGTCGGCTTTTGGGGCGCCGTCTACTTCTGGGGCTCGTGCTTCACCTCAGGACACCCCACCTTCTTCTTCTTCCTATAAGAGACATGATTCACCATCTGACGCGTCACTTCCCTCAGCCTCCCGCAGACATCAGGATTCACCAGTGCCACCTCCTACGGATGATGCTGTTGTTTCAGACCCACCTCTCAATGAAGATGTTGTTGGTCCAGTGCCACCTTCAGAGGGTGAGGCTGCTGCGGAAGAGCCTTAGGCTTTTAGAGGAGGTCCATTTGATTTTTCCTTACTTCCTCTTTATCCAAACCATACTACCAGACATATATGGGACAAAGAGGTAGAATTAGTTGTATTCTTTATTTTATATGCATTAATTTTAATTGCTGACATTAATAATTTCTGACATTGATTATTTCTAACATTGATTATTTCTGACAAATTTTAGGAGCGTGATCCCCATAAGTTTCTTAACCACGTGAGGAAGATTGTTGCATTGCCTCAGCCGAACGAGAATTAGTTTCATCCGGTTCTATCCTTATCTGGCCTAAAGGACCTATGCATGATCGGTTACACTTTGGTCAACCACGAGATGTTTAATGCATTTGCGAAGAGATGGAATTATGAGACCTCGTCGTTTCATCTCCCGCATGGTAAAATGTTTATCACACTAGACGATGTCTCGTGTTTGTTACATATTCTGATCAAAGGAAGATTCCTCGATCATGAGAGGATGACCAAAGACGAGGCAGTCGAGATAATGACAGAACATATGGGGACTGATCTAGAGAAGGAGATGGAGGAGGTGGATAGGATCAGGGGATCTCATGCTAGATTTGAGTTCCTGGGTACGCCTAATAAGGATCAGATCCTGAAGGCACAACATGCTCATGGATGATGAGCAAGTGGAAGTCCATAGGACGTATGCATTAAGAGCATACTTCCTCTTTTTGGTTGACACTTCGATTTTTATGGACAAGAGTGTCACTTATATTGACGTCATCTACCAACAGTACTTCTTGGATCTACAGCAGATCCATGAGTACAACTGAGGGGCGTTTGCCTGAATATATGTATTCGAAGTTGAAAGAAGGTTGTATATGGAAGACGAAGTAGGTCACAAGTAGCGTGACACTACTAGTGGTAATAACTCTTGATCTTTAAATTTTTTTGGTTAAATTCATTTCATATTTGCAAAACCATTACTGATGATTCGTGTGTTATAAACTTTTTTTATTTTAGGCTTGGATCCTCTAGCACTTCCTGCGCATCGCTGGCTGGGTGAGTGTGCCTAACTACACTGAGGATATGCCATGTGCTACTGCTTTTATCCCGCTTAAAGGGAACCAGGTGGTCGAGTCTTTTAGAGTCTATCTTGATCGTTTAATTGTTGAGGACATGCCCTTCAACAGCTATGTTGATCATCGTCAGACGCAACCATTTTACGAGATAGTGCAATATTCTGGATGATTGCGATCACATCTTATTGATCCTCATATGTCCAAGTGCGTCATGCGACAATTATGGTAAACTCAAACCATCCTCATATACTCTATTGTCTCTGCTCTTCTTACCTTGACACATAGTTAGATAGAAGAGATGTTTGATGATTTTGAGAGTCATCTGGTACCGGAGGAGGCACAGGTTACCACAACACCGAGCGACTAGAGCTACGTCGAAGGGTACATCAGACGGTTCTTCAGGGTGTCACATTCGTACACGGTGCATGCTGCTCTAGGAGATCCGCCGGGACCAGCTCGTCAAGAGATACTAGAGGAGGAGCAGGCTTAGCTAGATCATATGAATGATGTCTTTCTAGGTGTCGTCACATAGTAGAGATTGTGGAGGCTTGACGAGGGTATTTTCCCTTATGGGTCTGGTGCAGGCTAGTCCTAGATGCCATCATGGCGGAGGCACATGAAGCATTGCTGTACTGGAGACATCACCGGAGGACAGGGGGATTGATGGTCGAGGAGATAGAGCAAGCAGAGGAGGTAGATGAGATGTTGTTAGACACACACAGTAGTAGTATCTTATTATTTTATTGTAGTACTATATTTTGTACTTTATTTTGACGGTCTTACTACATTTTGGATCTCAATTGTATGACATTTTCTACATACATTGCTATACTATTTTCTACACACTTAATAATAGTTTCTTATTACTTTGTACGTCTATTTTTATTTATTTATGTTTGTACGTTATACTTCATCTGAACACAGATAAACAACTTATAGCATTAAATACATGTTCTACTATATTCCGGAGATGTATCTCTGAAATATTCACAGAGATGCATCTCCGGTATATTTCAAATGTAAATGGCTTCTGAGTGGATTGTATTGAATGATTCTGGAGTTGCATCTCCAGAATATTCTAAGGATTATTCTAAAATAGGTGCGTCTGGAGATGCATCTCCGAAAACTAAGAGCATTTAAATAATTTCGCGTGGTAGCTAAGAACTATCTAGAGTGCATTAAGAAATTCTCTTTTTATATTATTAAAATATATGAGTGTGTCAGTATAATTGGGGTGTTAAGTAAAATTCTTCTTTTGAAGGCACCCATTCCATGGTAAAAGTCGAGAACTATTTCTTTACATCTCACTTAAGATAAATAAGATCCTTTTAACACTTGCTTGAGATTTAATTTGCCACCCCCATTTATACCTGACACCCCTTCACAGTTTCAAAATTTCAAAACCGTTCCTGACAAAAAATTGAATCA